CTCTGGGGCAAGGAAAGGGACCAACTGCAAAGCCAGTCTGAGATGGTAAAAGGGTGACTTGGCAGTGGCTGCCACCTGGGACTCCATAGTTAGAAAAGAGTCCAGGAGCACTCCCAAACTCCTAACCTCCAACGCTGGCACCAAAGGCGCCCCATCAAAGGTCAGGAGAGGGATCCCCAACCCCAAACCAGCACGACTCAGGCCCAGGACCTCCGTCTTCGCCAAATTTAGCTTCAGTAGACTCAGCCTGAGCCAACCAGCCACGGCTTGTAACACCCAGTGTATATCTTCTGGGGTAGAGTCTGACCGGCCGCCCAGCATCAGATAGAGCTGGGTGTCATCTGCGTATTGATGACATCCCAGCCCATGCCTCCGGACAATCTGGACAAGGGGGTGCATGTAGATGTTAAACAACATCAGGGAAAGCACTGCCCCCTGAGGCACCCTGCATTCAAGCGGGTGTCTCCAGGACTGTTGTTCCCCTAGCGCCACACTTTGTCCCCGACCTTGGAGAAAACACGCACGCCATTGAAGGGCAAGCCCCTATATCCCCACGTCTGCTGAAACTGAAATTGCCAGCTCACAAAATTCTTGATATCCTGTTGAAAGCAGTGGGTCTGAGCACCTCAGCCACAAACCACTTTCTCTGATTTCAGCATATAAGGTGTTTCCCCCCACTCAGGTTTAGGAAGACACAACAACCCCTCAATTATCTGTCCTTTTCTGTTGATGAGAACTGACATAACCTCAGGGAAACAAAGCATGGAGAAATTGCCAAGCCAAATGTTCTCATTTTCTTCCAACAATTTGAATTCTATTTTTAAACATGTTTTGCAATATCCCCAGCAGTAGACATTGTACAATTTGAATAGTTTCAAATATGTAGTGGAAGTATTGAGTTTGACAATTAAAATTAGATTACAATTCTTCCTAAAATGTATTCAGGGTTAAAGTGAAAATTCATTTCAAATCAGGCTAAGACCAGGCCATGAAAGACCATTTTACTAAGCACAAGGAGATTTCTTCCACTCTTCTGTTTATGAACAGGTGCCACCTTCTTCCTTGTGCAATGAGAACTGCCCTGCAGGTTACAGCAGGAAAACACAGGAAGGGAAGCCATTTTGTTGCTATGATTGTGTTCTTTGTCCCAAAGGAAGGATTTCAGACCAGAAGGGTAAGAGACAATTTGTCCTGTCTCAACATACAGGAACTTACCTGTGCTCATCTTATTTCACTTGGGGGCATGCAGTTCTTTTTGTGTGAGAGGGAGCAACTTACTTCTGGCTTCTTTTTCACTTTCTTTTGCGTGAGCAACTTACTTCTGGTTTCTAATTGCCAAGAACTCAATACATATCTTTGTCAGCTTAGAATACAATTACATTAATCCTCCTTTGAACTTTAGAAATACTGCAGCTTGACCCACTCGTCATTTCCTATGGTTGAGGATAAAAAGTGAGAGGAAATTATTTTCTCATGTTAAGGAGATTCTGAAATAACGTATCTTATTTTTCAGACATGGACAATTGTTTCCCATGCCCAGAAGATCAGTATGCAAATAAACACCGAGACCAATGTCTTCCCAAAGTTTCGAACTTCCTTTCTTATGATGGAAATCTGGGCATCAGCTTAGCTGTCCTGGCTTGTTCCCTTGCTCTGATCACAGCTGTGGTTCTTGGCATCTTTGTTGAGCACCGAAGCACCCCCATTGTTAAAGCCAACAATCGAGGTCTCACTTACATGCTACTCATTTCATTAATTCTTTGCTTCCTCTCCTCATTGTTATACATCGGCCACCCTGGAATAGTGACCTGCCCTCTCCGACAAATAGCTTTTGGTATCATCTTCTCGGTGGCTGTTTCTTGCATCTTGGCCAAAACTATCAATGTGGTTGTGGCCTTCATGGCCATCAAGCCAGGGTCCAGAATGCGAATGTGGATAGGCAGAAGATTAACAAACTTGGTTGTTCTTTCTGGCTCCATTTTTCAAATAGTTATTTGTACCATTTGGCTATGTACTGCTCCTCCGTTTCCAGATGTTGACATGCAGTCTCTGGCTGAAGAAATTGTTGTAGAGTGTAATAAAGGGTCAGTGGCCATGTTTTATTTGGTTCTGGGGTATACAGCATTGATGGCAATGGTCAGCTTCCTTGTGGCTTTCTTTGCCAGGAAGCTGCCCGACACCTTTAACGAAGCCAAGTTCATCACTTTCAGCATGCTGGTATTTTGCAGTGTCTGGATATCATTTGTTCCAACTTACCTGAGTTGCAAAGGGAGATATATGGTGGCCGTGGAGATCTTTTCGATCTTGGCCTCCAGTGCTGGCTTACTTGGATGCATTTTTGCCCCCAAATGTTATATAATTGTCCTGAGGCCTCATCTCAATAGCCAAGGACAGCTGATACAGAGAATTAAGAGTTAAAAACCGAATCGGATTAATCAGCTTTTTGTTTCCCTAGAAATTCTCCATTCTACAGGAGAAAATAAAGGATTTTGAATGAGAAAGAACAAGCCAAATTTTTATAGGAAAAGACCCCATTTTATTTTTTATAAAATAATTTAATGCATGCAAAGAGAGAGAGAGAGATTATTAAAATATTTCTGTTGTTTTAGCTGTCAGGTCAGAGCTGAATTATGGTGACCCCACAGGATTTTCATAGCAAGAGACAATTTGAGGTTGTTTTCCATTGCTTCCCTTTGCATAGCAGCCATGGTATTCCTTGGTGGTCTCTCATCCAAATACTGAGTAGGGCTAACCCTGCTTAGCTTCAATATCTGACAAGCTCAGACTAGCCTGAACTATCCAGGACTGGGCAAAATATTTATTCCAGGCCTTTTTGTGATTCAAAGCAGTTACAAAAATACCAAATTACAGCATACAATCTACAATAAAACACAAAATAACCCATTCCCCCCCAAATGTCTGTAACCTTCATCTTATTAAAAGCTGTAGCAAATAAATTGGCTTACAAATATGTAAACAGATTTCCTTTGAGAACCATAATGTGTAGTGATAAGAGTGTTGGACTAGGATTTGGGAGACAAGACCAAGTTTCAAATCTCCACTGTACCATGGAAGCTTTTGGGATGGTTTTGGGCCAGTCACATACTCTCAAGTTTGGTCATTATGAGGATAGAATGGAGAAATGGACAATGGTGTATGCCACTTTGGGGGAGAAAGACAGGATATAAATGAATAAAATAATAAATAAATAAATACATCTTAATCGCTCCAATCACACGCAGAATTAGCAGTGCAAGAGGCCGGGCAGATTTTATGGGCACGATCACACAGGAACGTCTGGCAAGCATCCTGCACCCATTGCCAACCCTTGCACCCCTCCAAAGAAGTGGAGTTTAAAAATACCTGGGAAAGTGCAGTAGTAAATGGGTTTGCGACCTCAGTAGTAAATGGGCCGCAGATGAAAGTCCCCATGTGATCACATGCCTTCCTAACATCTCTTCCTTTGCTTACGTAGGATTGGTTTATAGTTTATATACTCAAGAGGAGAATCATACATTGGAGAACAGATACCTGAGACAGAATACTCTCACTGGACTTGATTTGGGGTATGTGTGAGAAAACTGATATCAAAAGAATGAAGCTGTCTAGGAAAGCACAGGATATGGTGCTGGGGTTCCTTTTTACAGTTCCCAGAAGTTGGCCACAGCTACTGTGAGTGTCAGGGCATATTTCAAGATACTGAGTATGGGGGAGGGTGGTGCAAGACATCTATAGCTAGGCAAAGCAGTTTTCCTAATTGCAAAGCTTTTGCAGAATCAAGCAGCATAATCAGACTATGACGATTTCTCCCTCCCTCACAGGACTTCCTTTCATCTTTTTCTTTGCTGAGCAGTCCCCTTTTCCTTTTTCTTCTTCTTTGTTTTTTCTCTGGATGACCCACCCAGTTGTTTGAATGTATATTGTTAGATGCTGACCCAGCCCAGGGGACTAAGGGGAGAGAGGCTAAAATCCTTCTTTTTGTTCTGGGTTGATGATGGCACATGAAAGACTGATGGTAAATCAAAAATAACTGTTTGATTTCACTTTGAGGGGAAATGGTCAGTAGTGTGATGGACTGCACTTTTAAAACCGTAGAAGTACTGTGTAAACAGATAGAGTGTGAAGGGTTAATTCTTCACAGAGCCAGAGAGCCTTGTGTCACAGGTTGTTCCAAGAACTCTGATTGGATAGCATCAGCTGAACAGAGAAAGACTTCTGAACTGGATGCTCAGAAGAATTTAGTCTTATTTTAGCCCTAGCTGAGAAGAGTAAAGTACTGACAGTTTCTGAATTTGGCCCTAACTTGAGAGCAGTTAACACAGACAGGAGAATTAG